ATATTAAAATATGGAAAGCAATATGTCGATTCCTTGGAAAACTTGGAATGGAACCACCCTTTGACCCAGCTCTCCCACTCCTTGGTTTATACCCAAAGGACTTAAAATCAGCATAGTACAGTGAAGCAACTACATCAATGTTTATAGCAGCGCAACTCAGGATAGCTAAACTATGGAACCAATCTAGGTGTCCTTCATCAGATAAATAAATAAAGAAAATGTGATAGATATAAACAGTGGAATATTACTCAGCCTTAAAGAAGAATGAAATGATGGAATTTGCTGGTAAATGAATGGAACTGGAGAATATTATGCTGAGTGAAATAAGCCAATCCCCCAAAACCAAAGACGGAATGTTTTCCTCTGATATGTGGATGCTAATTCACAATAGAGGGCATGGTGCTAGGGAAGGATAGAGGTACTTTGGATTAGGCAGAGGGGAGTGAAGGGAGGTGAGAGGTATAGGGATAGGAAGGATAGTAGAATGAATCTGATATTATTACCCTATGTACATATATGACTATATGACCAGTGTGATTCTGCATCATGTACAACCAGAAAAATGAGAAATTATACTCCATTTATGTGTGATGTGTCAAAATGCATTCTACTGTCATGTATAACTAATTATAGCAATTTCAAAACAAAAAAATAAAGGTAGCAAGTTTTGATTGTGTTTTATTTCAACTGAATGGTTGGTTATAGTACCAGAGCAGACGGAGAGCTAGGAGAGACATAATGTTCTCATCAAGAAAATAAGAAATACATGCTGTTTATTTGCAAAGCCAGGAAAGTTTGTGCCTTTCATTCTTCTATGGGAAACCTTTATGATTCTTTTACTTATTTTGCAGTAAATAAACCTGTGTGACTTTGCAGTTTGTAGGTAGTAAGTGTGGTTAATGCATCCACAACAAAGAATGGGGAAATCATGTGAATTTTCTTTCTTTCCTTTCATCTACTGCAGAAGGAGGAAGCTGGGAGTGAATGTGTCTGGTGCAAACAGCTTAGTGCAAATGCCACTAACAACAGGAAACACTGAATTCTAGAGCTTCAGGATGGCAAAGGGGTTGGGAAGACAGAGTGCTTTGTGGTTTTCTAGCTGGTCCACTGATAGCATCCAGAACAGTGCATGGTCCATGGTGGATGCCTCCTGCCTCCAGAGTGTGTCGATGTTCCACACAGAGGAGTACTCTGAGTGTACACGTTCTTGTTTCTTTAGTCCTTGATGTATCCTTGGAAAAGTGCACAAGACAGAGGTGGAGTGAGGGGAAGAAGCCCAGGGACCTATGAAATCCAGTGTTTTTTTTCCCCCCATTTATTCTTTATTGCCTCTTTTCTGAGTTGAAATATTCAGCTTTGGCCTAAAAAGAAGCTAAAAAACCTTATGCAAAGAGCTTGTAAACAAACACCCACTTGAACCATCTGGTTTGGTAGCACATACAAGTGATTAAGCTTCAGAGCTGTGATTGTTAAATTTTTAAAAACACAACAATCCAAAACACCCCCAAATAGATTCCTTATGCAAGTTTATAGGGGCAAAACATATGATGCTTTATGTAGTAAATAATCTGGAAAGGTTAAAAGGATTTTTTTTTTAAATTTCCTTCCCTCCCTTGTTCCTTTCTTTTGGGTGTTATGGAAGATACATGCACCCAAAATGTGTTTATGTTTCCACTATCTTGAGTCTGCATTGTTAACAGCTTATCACATTCCTTATCTTTACCTTTATCATCATATTTGCCCTTGATAGAGGAACCTGCATGCTTGGATGTATGTGCATGTGCACACAAGAGGGTTTCTCAGTTCTTTCCAGAATATATTAAGCAATCTGGGCTATTTGCAAATAATGAATTCATACTTTTTGTCCATAATGACTGAAGAAAGTCAGGTCAGGGGGAAATTAAATATGTTAAGAGCTCTCATTTTAATTGTATAATATCGATACTGTCTTTATAGTTAATTTCCTTGACAAGTCGTAGGGCATATGGATTGGATTCTTCATATATTTCTAACGTGGAAATGATTCTAAATTGGAACATCTCATTTAGGTGACATCACTGAAAGGAGAGAGAGGAAGCTGCCCCCTGTATTGCAAGTTTATGGAAGGAGCACAGCTTTACAGCTGATAAGTATTGGAATGAATTGCCCAGACACACAGAACCAAAGATTCTCAAGTGAAATAAAAACTGTGGGTGAGAAAGCAGTATCATATGAGATCCCCTATGTCTGTCTTCCCCAGTTTGATCAGTCCTCATCCCTGGATGTATCATATCCAAGAAAGGTAGGAAAGAAAATAGCTTTAAAAAAGAGGAGAAAGAGTCTTGAGTGTAGTCATGATGATTCAAATGTCAAATACTGCCTCCCCCTAAAATCTAATGGTTCAAACATAATAAAAATTATTTTTGTTTCATTACATAAAGTCCATAATGAGTATTCCTGATTGGGATGAATCTCTTTCAAGTGGCAATGTGAAGACAGACCTCCTGTCTTGGTGGCTCTCTGACTTTGGTGTGTGGAAGTCAAGGTAGCAGAAAGGACAACATGTGGGATATGGGGTGAGGAAGGGTTTCATGTACCACCTATGGAGAGACTCCCATCACTCCTCTTTCTGCATGGAGGAAACTCAGTCCCATGACAACATAAGTTCAGGGGTGACCAGGGAAATCAGTCGAACTATGTGCAAAATAACAAGGAGTTTGGTGAACTACTGGTTAGTCTTCATCATAAAGGAAAAAAAAAAAAGATGGGGATTAATGTGGGACACTGTATAGTATTTTTTATTTGCCAGGAAGGATATGATGAAATCAAAGCCTTTTACAATGATGTGGTAGAAAACTGGCTGTTTAACTGGTGTGTGTGTGTGGGGGGGGGGGTGTTGGGGATGGAGGGCAACCTCGTCTGATTTCTGTTGTTTGCCAAGTTTCTTCATATAAATACTAGATAGTTTCAAGCTACAAACATGAGTTCACCGAATGTGGAATTGGGAAGAGATGCAGAGGCCTAACTAACCCCTATAAGCTGGAACAAACCACCATAGCCCTTCATGCTCCTGATGAATTCTGAGAAAACACATCTGAAGCAGCCCATTTGTGAGAAAGAAATGAATGTGCATTTTCCCCTTGGTATTTGACCCAGGGGAAGGTTTGTTTCAAAGTGGATCTCTTTATCTCTGAAAACACATTGATATGATATACTCATATCAACAACAGACAGGGGTGATACACTTTTGAGTCAGAGAAAAAATAAGACCAAGGGCACTCATGAGGTGTCAAGGCCACCATCTGTAGGGAGCTGTGGGCTATATATAAAGTGCCTAGAACAACTTTCCAAGGAGTGTCCTGAGAAGTCAGATGTCACTTCTGGAATCTGTATATATATATATATATATATATATATATATATATATATATATATATATATTGCATTAATAATTTTCTTGGAATTTAGTGTGATCATTCCCGTCATTGTTTTCCAAGAAGGGGGAAAGTCTTGGAGATGGGATGGATAATGGTGATGAGAGAAAAGAGAGGCCAAGAATGTTCCTTTGTGTCTGCAAAGATATAACGTGAGCCAATCTGTGGGGTTTTTTTTCTTTTGAGGTGCTGAGGATTGAACCTGGGGTCCCAAGCATGCTAAGCACATGCTCTACCATGGAGCCACATCCCCAACCCCTGATCTGTATTTTAAGACAACAACCCTAAAGCTCAAATAGATATTCAGATCTCAGTTGGCTAATTTAGATGATTATTAATAGACCAATGGCTGTAGGTGGATCCTTCTGAAATTTTCCACCATTGCTTCTCTGTTTTTGCTGTCCAAACCGTCAGGCCATGTTTTGACCAGTTTGATTTACTCTTAGCATTCTGTTTGATCTGTGTAGATATAAAGTGGTGTTTCAGCGGTGTTTCAGTGGTGTTTCACCCAATACTGGTCCAGGTGGGTCAAGACTCCTGATGAACTAGGTTGGCATTAGCCCAGGGCTTTTGCTGTGAGTGGTCTTGTTTTCGGAAGTTCTAAAGACATGTCCTCTCTTGAACTGAGGCTGTTGTCTGAGTCTTCACTGTAAAGACCCAGGATTTGTTTGAGGTGCTTATTGTTTTGTTTATATTAGGCAGTTGACGTCAGCATCACTAAGATTCTGGTCCATTACGTATTTGGAATACCAGCGGAGGCAGATCCAAAGCTAAGGTTGAATCAAATCTGTGGTGTATTTGATTCCCTTCAGTTCCTGGTTTATGTTAAGCTAGTTGCTATTTTTAGAAAGTACTAAAACTGGTAATGACAGACTCAGGTATTGAGGACTCTCCAAAAGTTAATTCGTTTACTTAGTAAATACTAATGAGCCATCCTGGGGAGCAGATCTCCTCCTGTATTTTCTAATCATGGTGAAAATTAAACATCTCTGAAACTAACTTCTCTCATGCCAACCCACTCCATTGAATTTTTCCTTAACTGAGCGCTGCCAAAATTCAGAACTAGGCCTTGGCACACCCGTTTTGATCAGACCAGCCATCAGAATCATAATGTCCTAAGTACAAAGCCCACTAATTGAATTTCATTCACTGGACTTGAAATATAGCAGCCAAAGGCAGAGAACACTGTCGGCTGTTTTTTTTATGAGGACCGGAGTCTAAAGTCATTTTTAAAATGTGAGTGATGCAATTTCTTGTATCTCTCTTTTAAAATGCTACTTGGTAAACAGTGTTACAGATTAGTGTATTTGTAATTTAAATGAAGACAATACATCAAGCCCAATCTGAAAAGAAAGGAGAAGTTTAGGAAATGATTCATTCCTCCTTTTGTGTGCGGTCTACTGTAGAAAATGATAAATAAATAGGTGAGGAGAAAAGGGGGGAAAAGGTTTGTGGATTTTAGGAGACAAAATTGAACTATTTCTAAAACAAGAGTCAGTCTCAAATAGCTAAATCTTTGTTTTCTTCAAGCACACTAATAAATTCTGCCTAATTCATTTTTTATTTTCTCTTGGGGTCTGCTTGCAGATTTGCCTCAACGAAGGAAGCATCATGTTACATCTTTTAAATAATTGATGGCTCTCAGTCCAAGCCAGCTTGAAGGAAATTCTGAAAATAGGTACTGATTGAGCAAATGCCTCCTTCCTCCCCACATTCCCTCCTCAGCATTCTCTGCACTTATCTTCCTTTAATAAAGCTCGCTCTTTCCTTCCTCTTTTGTTTCATGGCCTCCTTGATGGAGCAAGTGATGCTATCATTTCGGTTTGGACTTTACCTGGTACCGAGTATTTCTCTTACCACTCTATTTTATTAAAGATGGAGGGAGCTGTTCTATTGTAAGTAGACGGATGTAATGAAAAGTTTTTAATGAATCAGTAGAAATGTCATAATTACCACCAGAGATGGTTTGTTGGGACAACTGAGCTCAGAACTTGCTCCGCTGAAGTTTTGCAGTGTGTTCTTTCCAAGGCTGAGGTGACCCTGAAAGCTGGGTTAGCTGTGGCCTTGTCCACCTCCCAGCTGTTCCTGCAGGTTCTGAAGCAGTGAGCAGTTTTCCCCAAGAGAGAGAAGAGCATCTCCATCTTATCTCACTGTGGGTGTCATTAACCATCATCTAAGACTTGGAAAAGCCATTACGGTTTTCAGGCAGCTGTGGTTGGTAGAACATTAGAGGGGCCCACAGTGATGCTGGCTTCGAGTCACCACCTTTTGAGTCCTGTTGTCTTCCAGGACCTCCTTCTCCTTGCTTGTAAAATGAGGGCTCTAGGGAGAATCTGCTGTAAGGCCCTTATCAGCAATGGTCTTCTTCCATCCTCCATGGAATGGGATGATAAACCAAGGGGAGGTTGCACTCCTTTTGATTTTGAGTATATGAATGGTGTTCCAAGTTTGAGTGAATGGAAGCTATGTGATCTCTCTGTGCTAACCTCCTTGTTTCTTTCCATCATTTTCTTAGTCTTTCTACATTCCCAGGGTTAAAGTGGAAGGAGAATATTTTGCAAAGTGCTAGACTCAAAAAACTTGGCTGAGTTAAGGAAGAAATCCTTTATTTTTTTAAAAAAATACTCTGCCCTCACAGAAATGCTTTCCCTACGTTTCTCAAATTGCAACAGAAAGTAGGCAGGAAGACATAACTGTGGGGTGGCAAATATTGGGAGAGCTAAATCTGTAATTCTGTGTTTGAGCTCAGTGTCACTGAGAGAAAGCCTTACATTGTGTCAATCACTGGAGGAGCTGTATCTGAATGGATGGGTTATTGTCTGCTTTTAAAACTATTACCATCTCTGACCCACTGTTCCTTTCAAGGGACATCACATAGATACTATCATTCTGTTTTCTCTCTCGTTAGAGCTAGCTCTCTGGGATCTGAACCCTTCTCTTCTCCACATCTTTCCAGCAATCAGTAGCTCACTTGCACTGGATAAAGTTTTCTAACTGCTATTATTGAAATCCAAAAAAAAAAAAAAAGAGTCTTCAAATAATCAAAGCTATTTATACTCACACAAAAACCATATGGTAGGGAATCTAGAAGCTGAAGAATCTCTTCTTTGTCTTTTACTCACTGACTATATACTAAGATTAAAAGTTCAAAGGAACTGTTTTGTTTCTCCTTTTTCCTCTTTTTCATTTTTTTTGTTTGTTCAAATTAGTTATACATGACAGTGGACTGCATTTTGACACATAATGCATAAATGGAGAATATCTTCTACTACTTTGGATTAAACAGAGGGGAGTGCAGGAAGGGGAAGGAGGTATGTGGAGAGAAAGAATTAGTAGAATGAATTGGACATGATTGCCTATGTGCATATATGATTATATGACTGGTATAATTCTATATCATGTACAACCAGATGTCAGTTGAGCTGCTATGAACATTGATGTGGCTGCTTCGTTATAGTATGCTGATTTTAAGTCCTTTGGGTGTAAATCGAGGAGTGGGATAGCTGGTTGGTTCCATTCCAAGTTTTCTAAGGAATTTCCATACTGCTTTCCATAATGGTAACTGAACTTTTAAAGACAGTTTACAATAGTATTTTTTCTCGATTCTTTAGTAAATTATCCACAGTGTGGAAATCTTCCACCTGGGTTGATTGTCACAACTTAAAACAATTAATCTGGGGAAATGTATACTATATTTTATCCTCAGAGGCCATTATAGCAGTAACAGGAACTAATTCCATGTGCTCTTCTGATGTCTGCATCATTTTCCTCACCTGTAAACCCTGAATCTACTGAGTTGAGTTCCTCTGCTCAAAGAGGTTATATATGGGGAAATGAGAAGAACTGGATCCCAAAGCCATTATTACAATTCTAACATCATTTTGTATTTTTGTCAATTTCAGAGGTGAAATTTCACAAGTAGTATATTTTAAAAATTATCTAGAAATCTACAATCACATTGATCACGACCATTGTCCATATTACAACAACAGCAACACACCTGTTGGAATCAGCACCTGCAGGATTTTGTTGACTCATGTCCTTCTTTGGTCCCTCTCAAGTCCTTAGCTTTCTTTAAAAAATAAATGACAACCTAAATTAGCTCCTGTGGGGCATCTATCCCAGTAGTGCCAATTAGGTGGGTTCTCTCCTATTTTTTTTATACTTATAAAAATTATAGTTTTTTTTTTTTAAATAGAACTCCTTTGTTTACAATCCTAGAAAATGAATATATTTGGATTCTTGAGTCTTCATATCTTTTTTCCATTCATGACTATATCAAAACTATCCCCTACTTTTTTCTACAAAGCAGCTTCCTATCTTTATTCTAGACCCTGTCAAATTCTAATCTATACCAGGAGCTTCCTTGGTCTCTAGACTGAGTTGGTCTTCAGCTTTGATTCTGTGCAAGAATTTATTTCAAAATTATCCCTTTGTTTTCTAGCACACAAATAGTTTCTCTTTGGCATTTTTGAAGCAAATGATCAAAGCATGATTCCAGTTGGTTTTTCCAGTATTGGGGTGTTGAGACAAAGTTGAGACTGAAAGGTTAATCTTGTTTGTCAAGGATTTGACTTTTTTTTGTTCTTGAAAGAAAATGGGCAAGGTGTGGGTTTGGAGGGTGTCTTAGTGAACAGATTTAGAAGCCCCTCTGAGAGTCTGAGAGCCATTTAATGGCAACACAACCTTCTCTAAAATGTTCCCCGGTGTCCAGATTTATCATATTCATGTCTCAAGAAGGATGATAGGAAATGGACCGGGGCCACTTGGATAATCAGTTTCACCACCTCGTTTATGTAATAAATTGTACCAAAGTGTTCACCAAACCAATCATTAGGGTATATCTGTCACTTCTGGGTCACAACCTTCCCCCTTTCTTCCCTGAGCTGTAAGTTCAGCACAGAATCCCCCTGGATATCTAAAGGATCATTTTGTTGCTCTGAACAGTCCTTGTATTGTGTGGGTGAAGATATGAGAACTAAGTTAAATCATATGGAGTTACCATTGTTGTAGGTCAAATTTGGGAAAGTAGTGACAATGAGGTTCAACCCAGTAGCTTCCTTTGATAGATGCTCTTCTTAAAACAGCATTGATGCATGTTTGTTTAAAATCCACTGTGGAATTATTTGAAACAGAAGCTTCAAGTTTTTCCATGAGAAAACTTGTGCTTTTCTTCCTGTTGCCTTTTGTCTTTTCTGAGAATCAGAGCAATAGGAAGCAAAGCCCTCATATTTTGAGACAAATGTGAAATAAATGAAAAATCCATTGGTCTTAGAAGAATTTATTTTTTTCGGAAAATTATAAATGTATTTAATGGAAAAATGCTTTGAAACCCTAACCAGAGCATTCACTATAAATAAGAGAGAGTGGATGATTAATAAATCTGATAAAGCCTAAGAAGGAAGAAAACTTAAAATAAAAATGAGGATTGTACCTTCGTGTGAGTGTTAATACAGCCCCGAGTATATATATAGGAAAATCAAAGACTTGCTAAAGGCAGAGCATACTAAGTCATAGCTATTAATGTGTGCTTAACTCTATTGCCTGGGAGATTTTATTAAATGCAGCGGCCACGAAAATTGACCTCACTTTTTTTTTTTTTCCTTTTTTGGGTTGGATGCTTGCTCACGTCACATAAATGAATAGAGCTGACAATCTACTGGTTCATCAATGAAACAATATTAAATTATGAAGATGTAAGAAAAAAATCCTACGCTAACAGTGTTGCAGTTTGCAAGGTAAGCTGTCCCCTACCAGATAGGAGATATTAATGTTCTTTAAAAATCTACACAATACCATGCCAGGTGATATACACTAAAGGGTTAAGTGGCCTCCGTGTCTCTCTCCCTCAGTGTTGTGCTGACAAGTGTTTTATAAGTAACAAAAATGAAGAGACTGTGATGTTTTCCTCATTATGTCTTTTAAAATGCAAAATCATTTTGATGCTTTTAAAATGTTATCTATTATGAAACAGTCTGACAAATTGGACTTTACTGAGTGTATGTTGCCTGATCCCACAGTGATTTTGCCTTTGTTTCTGGTGATTCACTACGTTGACCAGTAAGCAGTGGCTAATTCTTGTCTTTCGGTTATGTGCAAGAAGTAAAATATTATTTTGATTTACATTTTCTCTTGTGCTTTAGATAGGAAGCCCTATCTTCTGATTCTAGCTTATGTGAATTTGCTGAAGGTTCTTTATGTCATTAGTTACCAATTGAGTACTTGTTGGTTTTTTTTTTTTTTTTTTTTTTGCCCCCAAGAATATTCAAAGGCTGAGTTCATACTGCATTTTTTTTTTTTTTTTTGGTACTAGGGATTTAACCCAGGAGTGCTTAATCACTGAGCCATATCCCCATCCCTTTTTATTTTTTAGTTTGAGACAGGACCTCACTAAGTTGCTGAGGGCCTCACTAGGTTGCTCAGGATGGCTTTGAACTTCTGATCCTTCTGCCTCAGCCTCCAGAGTTGCTGGGATGACTGGTGTGCTACACCACTCTCAGCTGCATTCCATTTTTGAGGGAAAATCATGTAATGCCTATTTTCTGAAGTTCCCAACAACTACTCAGTCCTATGAATTACCCATCTCCTTCACTTGGATCTAGGAACCCTGTAATAACAACTGTCACAGGAGGATGACAGTATGGAACAGATCTTTTGTTGGAGTTTCTCTGCCTTCTCTTTCTCTCCATGACACTCTCACATAGGTGTGTCAATCAGCAAGGGTGGACAACCACTGCCTCTTCCAAGGCAGGATCAGTGATTCATTGGTTTCCCTGGTACCTATTGTGGTGTCCAATGGAGCAGTATATAGGGATCCGTGTGCACTTGTTCCCTGTGGCATTTCTCCATGGCATTTGCTACTGTACTCTCTGGAGTAAGTCAGATTTCTGAACAGCATTCAGCAGATTACTGCTTCCATGTTGAAAATAGTACATTGGAAGTAGAATTACCTTTTTCATGGCACCCAAGTTGCTTAATTCATAAATTGAGAATAACTTAGGCAGTGGGAGAATATGTTTCCATGTTTGCAGTGGATTGGAATGAATGTGGTATTCATTCTGCTTAAGCTCAAACTCTCCTAAAGTGGAGTTCTGGCCCCATATCATTCAGTTACACGATTCTGGGATATCATCTGTTGTTTTGTGTAGCATCAGTTTGGTTTTAAGTATTGGTGGTACTTAAATCTACTTGTTAAAAACTACAGGTGTGCCCTGCTTTAAGGAAACTTGGATATGCTTCAGATTCACACTTGCCGTGCCATGGCATGAAGGGGCAGTTATTTGCACACTAAAAATGTCTTGGCTTTATAAAATAATTTATCACCAGATTCCTTTAAATAACCAACTCTCTCAGAGCATTTAAAATATGATTTGATTTGAAAAATCAATGGTTACTCACTCCACTTTCCAAGAACACATCTACTCTAAAATGTGGGGCAGTTGAAGGGGGGCAATCAAGTAGCAAGGAATGAGGGTCTTGAGTAAGCCGAACAGGAATTAATTTTTTAATTTAGAAACACACTTACTTTTTCTAGAATTTTCAGGGGAGGCCACCTTCACCTTTCTCACCTCCAGAGTACATAAAGAAAGGAAGAAGGGGCGGGCCAGTTTGAGTTTGGAAAAGAAGAAATCTATTTCTCTGGTGGGTTCGCATTCTGCATTATGCATGTGCGTAAGAGTGAGGTTTGCTTTGATCCTGACTATTAAAAGTTTATTTTTAAACTCAGACTGGGCAGGAATCCAGCGATGCTCTTTCCCCTGCAACACATCCTGGGTTTCAGGTCCCCAGCCTGGCAGAATGCGACTAAGCAGCCGGAAGTAGTTGAAAAGTGTGGAGACTTGACGGGTGCTGAGGGTTTGTTCCCCCCTTCCTGCCCTCCATTTTTGAAATTCAAATTGAATGCAATTTTCAGCTCATTTGAGCCAGAATATACTGTTGCTGAGCTTCAGTGGCTCTTAAATTCAAACTCACGGGAGAAAACAGATATCATCTGTCACAGAGGGTGGGAGAAAGAAGACTCCCGCATTTTATTCAGGGGAGGCAGAGCTCTAGTAACTAATTCAAAGCTTTCTGACTAATCGGTTAATCATTCACCAGCAAACTGATCAAGTAATCAATTAAACCTTTTAGACACCCATCCTATGAAATCTTGAGTAGTTTCCCCCTTGCTTAAAAAAAAAAAATGTTCCGGTCTATTTTTATATTGTTGATATTTTCATACCTATTTTGCAAACTGAGATGGAATATCTAGGTGGTCTTTTTTTTCTGCACTTCCTGACTATTTTTTATTGTTTCCATCTTTAATGTCTCTGTCAATGTTATTTACTTATGATTGAGAATTAGCAGAAGGCTTAATGCTGGTAAGTAGGGCCAAATTTTGCAATTTTTTTTTTTATTAACAGACTCTCTGAAAATATGCTTCTTTCTCTAGGCAAATATAAGTACCAGTGAAAAAAAGAAAGACCCACTCATATGGTTCTGGAGTTTGCAAGTGTGTCTAATCTGCAAGGTGGATATTTCAGAGGTCTTGAGAATGCCTCTTGATGAATTTCTGCCACTGGGTATGTGCCCAGGGAATGCAAATGAATTTGAACAATGATAGTCTAAAATTTCGCCTCTGATTTCAGAAAGAATGTGATGTGGCAATTTTGATCTTGAAATGTAGGTTATATGCTTATCCATGACTGTTTTAGTGTAAGTCAAGATTTCCATAGGAACAGGAAGGCTATTCACTTTCTCTTGCTATTTTACCTTTTACCCCCTTTTTCCCTCAGGATCCATGAGACACAAGTAATTATGTTATTTCAAAGTAAGTGGGAGTAAAAAATTTGATCTCTAAATACTGTTAGTTCTAATGAAGTCAGTTTATAGTAATGCCACCTATGGTAGGTAAGTGTGTGATTGACCCTATATATTTATGCACACACGCTTGTATGTGTGTTTACATGTCTCAGGGATCTCTGAGAATGTGACAGCAGGAACCTCCAAATGTTTGCTTTTACATTAATAAAGTTATCAACCCCTTTATCCTCTTAATGGTAATGTGCTTATGTATTAGAGTCCTGGTAGAAAACATTGACTTCATTTCCTTTAGAAGGAACGATACCCTGACATATTAACCTATGTTTCTCTATTATATGCCTTCACGAAGCTATTGACCTATACTACAAGAAGTCAGAAACTACTGTGAAACTAAAGACTGTGAAATTGCGATTTATAGTAAGAAATGCATATTTGGTTTCTCTGCCCCCCAGTTCCTGACACTCCCTTGGAACTCTTAATCCCTAGGGATTTCCTGTGCGACTGACAGGAGTGTCTTTTCTTCTAATGAGGCCACTCTTGTTGGGCTCCTGGGTGGAAGTGGGTCACCAAGCCCAAGATCAGAAGCTCTGAACTTTCAACCCCACCTCCTGTCCTCCAGGAGCAGAGAGGAGCTGGAGAGTGAGTTAATAGCCTGTTGTGCCTACTTTGAAAAGCTTCCATGAAAATCCCTTCACTGCAGGGATGAGAGCTTCCAGGTTGCTGAATGGTAGAGGTCCTGGGAAGGTGGGCACTACAGAGAGTGGGAAGCTCTGTGTCCCTTTCCACAAAGCTCTCCCCAGTTCCTCCTCATCTGTGTGTCTGTGCCCTTTGTAGTTCCCTTTATTGACATAATAAACTGGTAAAAGTAAGTAATTCTTTGAGCTCCATTAGCTACTCTAACAGATTAATCAAATAAGAGAAGGGTGTCATGGAAAAAAAATCTCATTTGTAGCCAAGTCAGCCGGCAATTGTGGGTAGCCAACAACTTTTGACTGGTATTTGAAGTGGAGGTCAATCTTTTGGGACTGAGCCCTCCATCTGTAGCTCTTTCCAGGTAGATGGTGTCAGCCTCAAGTCAGACTATAGTCACTTGGTGATTGCTGAGGAATTGATATGTATGTAATACCTAAGACATCTGAACCCAGAAGTGTTTTGTGTTGGGTGAAAGAGTACGAAAAACAGTTTGACTTTTACTGTGTTACTGTATCTATCTTGACAAGGGATCTACCTTTTTAGCTAATTACTAAAGTAGTTAATGGAGATTTAGTTTTCCTATTTAAATATCTTCTGGCTTCTGGTTTGAAGTTGTTATTGTTATTATTACCACTAGGGATTGAACCCAGGGATGCTTAACTCCTGAGCAACATCCCAGCCCGTTTTTGTATTTTATTTAGAGGCAAGGTCTTGCTGAGTTGCTTAAGGCCTCGCTAAGTTGCTGAGGCTGGCTTTAAACTTGCAATCCTCCTGCCTCAGCTTCCAGAGTTGCTGGGATTACAAGTGTGCCCACTGCTTCTGGCTCAAGTAATTATTGAGTGCTTACTATGTGGCAGACATTTACTGAACTAAGATTTTTCAGTTGTGGTTCTCAACCTAAGTGAGATAGACATAGGAGATGAAATGTCAGATCCATCTAAAATATGCACTTTGTCCCTGCCCTTTTCCACAGTTAATAATTAATGGTATAAAATAGATATACTCTAATTTGGTATTGGGAGAAAGGATAGTATGCAAAACAAGTTAGTGGCTAAGATAATAAAATGTGCACATTGAAATGTTAAATGTATAGTATTCTCCAAAAATGCTAACAAAATTGGGCAAAGGAAGGGCCAATGAGGTGCTGATATCCTGCAAGAAGGCACTGTGAGGTAAGCAAGCCAGGGATCAATGGAGGGAAAGAGAGAACAATCCAGGAGGTGGGCACAGCAGGACTCTAAGA